GATTTAACATTTACATTTATCATTTACATTTAACATTTAGCATTTAGATTTAACATTTACATTTATCATTTACATTTAACATTTAGCATTTAGATTTAACATTTAACATGTACATTTAACATTTAGATTTAACATTTACATTTATCATTTACATTTAACATTTAGCATTTAGATTTAACATTTAACATGTACATTTAACATTTACATTTAATGTACCCCGCCCCTCGCACTGTGACTGCTGGACATGTGCACCGGTGACCCCCGTGACCCTGACAGGAAGAAGCAGGTATGGATTCATGGATGGATTCTTGAATTCTCTCATCCTGGTTTAAATCTGCCCCTCAAACTCCAACAACCTAACCTCACCACACAGGAAGTGTCTTTAATGCTTGTTTATTAAAGTGCTGATCATTCTTCGTTACCATTTCCTTTCATGATAGAATATTTGAACAGCAAAGGAGAAAATGAACAGAAATAGCGTTATACTAAATAACATATTAATGTGTCTTTTAAAATGACGTTTCTGTAGTAGCAGGTCATCTTTCTGGGACTTGGATGTTTTAGGTTATTTGAGCTTTCTGGATTTTAGTTTGGGATCCTTTTTTAGGATTAAGTTTGTCTCAAAAGTATCTAAAAACTCTGGAGACCACGTGAAAATATATACAAAAAAATACATTTTTTAAGTTTTGCGAGGCTGCACAGTGGATGTTGGGTGTGTGATTGGTTCACAAAAATAGTTGGTTTACAGAACAAATTAACAGCCTAACTGCAGCCTTTCATGTCAGTTTTGAAATCAAATCCTATGTTTAGAGTTGATGGGGTTACTGCGGTTTTGATCCAACCTTGTAGTTGAGGATGTGCATGACCTCATGTGAGATCTCACTTATAGATGCAGCCCTTAGAGTAAGTGTTGGGAATGACCGTCAGCTATTACTACCTCAACCTGAGGCCAGTATCTGTCAATTTTACCAAGTAACTATATTGTGTTGGCGGCAGCAGCCATCATAAATAGAAATTATGTGCTGAAGTGACTCTCAGCTACTACCACACCGACTGTCAGCTCAACATCTGTAAAAATGACAGCTGTAACCGTTCAGGCAGCAAGCTTGACTGCAGCTGGCTCCTGAAGGTAATATCTTACGGAGCACTTTCTGCACGTGTCGTTAATATCTGTCCAGTTAAAGAGCTATTTAGTTGAAATTACAAATTCACACACCCACACCCACACATGCACAGAAATGGGCAGAAACTACCCTTCATTTTAATTCATTCATTTTTATAAACGGCGGGTAAAATAAGTATTGAACACGTCAACATTTTTCTCAGTAAATATATTACTAGAG